TTTTGTTGTGTTCGCTGATAGTTACATATATGGATTAGAATTTAGCAAAGGTTGCGTTAGATGGGCTATTTCAGGATGTTGGTTGTTGGCTTGTTGGTTTAGTGGCAAAGGGTACTCTGGCTTGGTAAACTGTTGTCGAGAGGTTCACGGTGCATTAAAGGATTGACTGTTGGCGTGGTAGGCTCTAAAGTTTTGGTTTTCGAGTTTCAAACAAAGGTGTAGGGCTTCGGGTAGACCTTTTGGTTCTTTAATACCGAGAAGCCTAGGAAGGTCGCCGGAAAGTCCTCTGACAAAAGTATCGAGGGCTTTAGCACGATAATTTTCTGTCAATAAGTGAACTGCTTCTTCTCCAACTTCCATACAACCTATTTTGTTTAGTATAAGTGAAAGGTGCGAGTACACTTTTTGGTAGAACTCATTTATTGTTAGTCTGCCTTGCACGAGGCAAGTCATCTGATATTCTAACGTACCTATATCCCGTTTGTCTGCGTAGTGAGGTGTCAGGCAACGAGAAATTGCTGTCCAATCTAAAGGCGTGTTATATGATTCTAATGCTACGTCTGCCTTTCCTATTATCTTATTCCTGATGACGTTCAAGATGCCAAAGTAGCGAGGCGTGTTCTTTGAGGGTTCGTATATCCTCAAAACGCGCTCTACGCCTTTTTTCAGGAACTAAACTCTGAAGCGTTCCCTGAAAGTGCCCGTAGTGAGCGTACTACGTCTGGAACCTTGTCCATTTCGCTCATATTATCCCTAAATTATTCCTCTATTGCTTTGTCACTTATCATCGGGTTTGCGTTACTGTTAAGAGTGTTTTGAATTAAATTCGGCCCATTCAGTTCTATGGCCTGGGCTATCATGGTTCTATTAATGTTTGCCAATCCTGGAGAAATTTGTGCGGAAGGTCTTGCTGCCGCGGTGGGAGCGGTTTTAGCTAGCACAGGTGGCCTAATTAAATTATTTGGATTAGCCATCTTATATTTCTTTATTTGGTTTTTTCTGTTTTATCGGTAAAATTAATTTTAAAAAATTTTATTTATTTTTCCTTTTCTTGAAAAGATAAGAAACTCCCTTGCTAAACGTTTAATTTTAAATTTTAATTTTAATAAAAAATAAAAAATAAAAATAATTAAATTTAAATTTTAAATACTGATAATTTTTTTTCTTTTGCACAATTTTCTACGCGCAAAAAATTCGCAGAAATAAGATTTGCAGAAAGAAAAAAAATGAAGTAACTACTTTTCTATATATTTATTTAAGTTATTGTTATTGTTAGAAACTTTTTCCCCTTCTAGGAAGGGGGCTTTTTTACTCTAGAGGGTCCGGTCAACTTCTGAGTTGGCTACGGAATCGCAGAGTTAAGCAATGTTATATTTGTTGTTTACATTTTTTTTTTATGGGTTTACAGCCCGTGTTTTATTTGATATATTTATATTATGAATTTTTTGTAGTATTATTGTACTATTCACTCAATTAAATAGTTTCGAGAGAAAAATATATTTAATTTTTTTCCTTTTTTTTATATAAAAAATTCTTGATTTATTTCTATAACTTCCACAATTTTAGGAATGATTTTTTTCAATCAGTATTTTTTTCTTATATTCTCTACTTCACAATTTCACAAATTTACCTTTTTCTCTCTAGGAAAATGAAATACCCTTGTTATTCACAAATATATATGGCAATAAATTTTCAGTATGCCTTTTTTTCATTCGTAGATGGGGCTATGAAATGCCAAGTTACGCCAAGATCGGCCAGCCGTTGCTGAGCGTAAAAATTCCGCCATTCGACGAGGTCGTCCCTGATCTGGCGATTGGCGCCCACGAATTGGGTTCCATTGTCGCTGTATAAGTTGGCGCAATAGCCTCGGCGGCTTACGAAGCGGTCGAACATGTCCAGGAATGCTCTGGTACTCAAATCTTCTGCGAATTCAAAGTGAACCGCCTTAGTGCACATACATACGAAAATAACGACATATGTTTTTGTTGTGGTGGTGGAGCGTCTGCCACCGTGGCGTACGTTGAATGGTCCAGCGTAGTCCACACCAATGTTGGTGAACGGTGGCGCAACTACCACGCGAGATCGGGACAAATCCGCCATCTGCTGCTGCTGAATAGTACGCTGGTTCAGTTTACAGTTGCATCGATTCAAGAATTGTTTGACTAATGATCGCCCGTGGGTGATCCTACCTACCCCTAGAAATTCCATGTTCGTCCATGAGAGGGCTTAGTGGTAGCAGCTTGCTGGACGCGGCGACACTGTAAGAAGCTTTGAAATGATTAATTTCGGTGAAATAAAAGTTACCTTGTGCTTCTCGAACGTGTAACCTCAGTTCTTGTAGATTTCGCCAGCAGTAATGATTAGAGTACGCCAATGTGGTCGCCCAGCTGGTCGAAACCGAAGTACATAGGCCGTTGTATGCAGTAATCGTTGCAAAGTGCTGAACCGCTCAACAAGTGGAACAAAGTTTGGCTTCAACTTGTCATTGGTGCGAACGTGCAACTGAGGCACCGACAATAAACAGATATGCGTCTGAAGAGGTTTCAGCTCCGAGTCATGGTATTCCTGCTCCTTAACCTTCAGCTGTAGAGAATGGCATGATTGATTGTTGCTGAGCTTTATACATGATGGACCGGTCCACCACAGGTGTAAATTTGCGATGTCTGCGGGTGACACGCCACGACTTGCACAGTCGGCAGGGTTTTCCTCAGACGGGATGTGGTGCCAATTCTGCGTATCAGAGTAGCGCTGAATATATGTCACCCGATTGGATACATACTGCGTTAACGTATGTGGTGGCTTGCGGATCCAAGATAATACGATGTTGGAATCACTCCAGTACGTGCATTACACATGGTCAAGTCGAAGTGCTTCGCGTGCGTTGACCATACAACTGACAAGCAAATGTGCTGCGCACAATTCTAGCCCTGGTATTGTAGTGGGTTTGAGCGGAGCCACCTTTGTTCGAGCAGCAACTAAGGTGACCCGTATTTTCCCTGTTGGATCCACACTGCGCGCGTATATAACTGCTGAGTAGGCTTTGGTACTAGCATCCCCGAACCCATGCAGTGCAACCGTGGATGTTCGGGTCATACCTAGCCATCGGAGTAGACGAAGTTCGCCAATCATGGGAAGTGCGCTGCGGAACTTAAGCCATTTTTCACGTAACTCTATTGGTAATGGTGCATCTCAGTCGATTTTAGTAGCCCATGTTAGCTGTATGAAGATTTTTGCAGTTACTGTCCGGAGCCAGAAAGCCAATAGGGTCGAAAATTTTCGCAACATAACTTAAAACACTACGCTTGGTTAGGATGTGATTTATGTCAGTTAGCGTAACCTTGAATAGAAGTTCGTCATTAGTGGGATTCCAATGAAGACTCAGAGCCGTTGCGTATTCATCGCATAAGCTTAGTTCGTTTGCTCCTGCTCCCCGGCCTAAGAATGTACGAAGGACTTCTATATCATTGGAACTCCACTTTCGAAGGCAGAACTTGCCCTGTTGCAAAATATCGGTAACATCTCGGGCTAGGAGTAAGCCCTCTGAAGGGGTGTCAACGCTCTCGAAGTAGTCATCCACATAAAAGTTTTGTAAGATGCCCTCCTTTGCCAAGGAAGCGCGGGCTGCGTCGCTGATCACCGGCTGGTTATCGTAAGCGCATTGTCGCAAGGCGCGGATGGCGTTAAATGGGCTGCAGGCCATTCCGTAGGTGGTGGGTTGATACGTGAGTGGTGAGTTGATACGTTCGAAGCGGCTCATCTGAAGATTCGCGCCAGAGGATTTGCTGCCACGGCCGATGTCGGAGGTCAACTCTGACTTGCCTGAACATCTTTTCGATGTCTGCGGTGATCCCCACTCGGAACCGCCGAAAGCGAAGAAGGATGTTGATAAGTGGGTCTTGGAGCTGAGGGCCAATCAATTGGGTATCATTGAGTGAGATGCCATTGCTCGTCTTAGCCGAAGCATTTAATACGACCCGAAATTTACCAGTCACTGCTCAAGTCGCAAAAACTGACGAAGAGCATTTCTGTATGAATCTCCCAGAGCTGGCGCCTCGGGTAGAAAAGGCATTTGAACAACGTACCGACCCTCGGAATCGCGTGAAACCGTTCTACGAAATATCGCCTCACAATCATCATCTTTGGGCGGGGTTGGCGAAACTTCCTCTTGTTGCCAAAATCGCTCCAGTAAGTAGTCAAGCCGATCTTCGTTTTCATTTTCGGTATAATTGCGCAACGCTGGCAGCGCGATGCTCTTTGGAGACGTGGGCCCCAAGACAACCCAGCCGAGCCGCATTTGGAGAGCGCTTGGTTGGCCTGGTCTATCAGTTATGGCACCATTACAAAGGAGCATGCCCCACACATCGGCTCCAGCTAACACTTCAATGGGCCCTGGTATATGAAAGGTAGAATTCGCTAGTGGAAGATCTTCTAGATGCTTATGAATGCTGGCATCTACGGGTACTGCTGGAATGTTACGACGTGATAGTAGGTAGGATATGCACATCGAACGACAACTCGAAATCTGGATCGTAGAGAGAGCGCATTGTTAACGTTGCCTGACCACGCGAAGCCACCTTGCCTTGAGCGCCCATACCTTCTGTTACCAGTTCCTTTCGGTTTCTAGGGAGAATTAGCTCATTAAACAAAGACTCAGTAACAAGGCTCACCTGTGAACCCATGTCACAGAGTATGCGACATTTTCGCTCTTCTCCACACCCGTCTAAGATGGGAGCCATAGCGTGGCTAACAGCACTATGTCATCTGATTGCGCCAGTCGAGTCTGCACTGCATCAACTCGGGGTAGGTCTTGTGGTCCGTTCTTGCAATCTGATGTGGCCGACAGCGTCGTAGTTCCGGCTGAGATGCGTAGACCGCTATTGGGTATGCCCGATGATTTCTCCAACGGAGCGGTTTTGCAAAGCCGCGTATTATGTTTTTGCTTACATATATGGCAAAGGCCGGAGCTGCATTCGCGGGCCGTATGCCCAGGACTCAAACAGTTAAAGCACAGTGACCCTTGTCGAGCCAGATGCAGGCACTGATCCACGGCCACCGAGCGGAACTGCTGACATTTCATCAGGCAATGTGGCTCTGAACACTGTGGACAGATGAGCACCGGACGCACCGCTGCATTGGTAACTGACGCTGTCACCATGTGAGAGGAGGGTGTCCTCGTAAGTTTCGACCTCTTCTAACATGCCTTGAAGCTCAGGTAGCTTATCTGAGTGGCTTTTAATCGTCCAGTGCGCAACTGTAGCGGACGGCAGCTTCCGAAGAATGATGGGGTACATAATGGCATCCCACTGATCCGTAGGTAGGCCCATTACATTTAAGGTACGCAATGTACTACGCACCACATCTATAACATCGCGTATTCCACGTTGTGACTCACTTGGATGTTCTGGAAGATCCAGTAGTCTATTTATGTGTGCTTCAACTGAGCATCGTGGTTTGTCATACCTGCGCTTTAGCTCTGCCCAAAGCTGCTCGTAACCCCCAGTGTAAACGCCAGCTACCATGGTTACAGCATCCGCCCTTATGCATTGGCGCAAACGACTAAGCTTATATGTTGGGTCGAACTCTGCTCGGTTGTGAACAAGGGATTCGAACATATCCTTGACCACAAGCCTGTTCTCTTGTTGTCCATCGAAAATTGGTAGCTTTATGGGGTCAAGCTTCATTTCTGCCATTCTGCGAACTGTAGCCACATCTTCTTTTGCAGCCATTCGCAACTGTTGCAGTTTAGTGGACACCACTCTATAGGTTAGTTCCATTTTTGCTAACAATGCGTCGTGGACACCAAGCTCTTCGGGCTTGGCTGCGCCAACCAACAGCATATGGTTATCCATGAAACGAGTAAAGTGCGTGGAAAGCAATTTCACCGTATGATCAATTTCATCTATGTCCGGTGCATAATTTCCAGCTTCCACTTCGCCCTTGATCCCGAGAATCGAAGATTGTGATGCTGAGCGCAAGTTAAGTTCAGCCATTGCTATTTGGATATACCGTCTAGCCGAAGTTACACGTAGCGGCCAAATATATATATCCAGATATAACGGCGAAAACGTTGCCGTTACCGTAGTCGCGCCGTTATAAAAAACCACAAGTTGTCGCTAGCTCAACGATAGCGCAAAATCGCTGGAATTTACGGTCCGTTATTTTATGTGCAAATGTTCGCCAGCGCTGGGCTCACGCTCTCATTGAACTGTATATCAGGCTTAAAGTGGAAACCTTGACAAATTAAGCGAAATGCACTCAAAGCGATGATCAACGATTTCCAACAAAAATACGTGCGAGATCAGTTCCTCACAGGAGGCACCAAAATGTTCGCGAATTAAAAACGGAGTCGGGTTACTTTACTAAGGGTCTTTATTTTTTGGTACTCGTTGCCCGCGCAAAAACTAATTCAATGAACAGCAGACAGTGATGTGTCGATGTCAGAAAAATTAGAGTAAAATGGATGAACTTATCGGAACTGTCAGGTTATCGCCAGGATTGCCGACTTGTATGTTGTACAAATCTCAAACACATTCATTTGAATATCTTCTCGAATAACCAAGTGGCCATTAAGGCGCTCTCTTCTGCCCCTGTAAGATCTCAACTAGAGTAGGATTGTAGAAGAGAGTTGGCCTATATATCTGATCAATACGAAATTGCCCTAATATGGGTCCCGGGACATAGGGATATTTACGGAAACGGACAGCGGACGAACTAGCCGGCCCAAGGGTGACGCTGAAGGTACTCGGCAAAGCCATTCCTGCAGAATGTTTCAGAGCGCAGCTGTCTCTCTCTCTTTCTGTCGCACTGAAATTCGTTAAAGCCGCCAAATGGCTACAGGTTACACGTGTTGTGAAATCAAAATGGCAAACTTGCTAATTGCTGGTCAGTAGGATGAAAATCCACTTAAACCAATGAACCATTCATTTGAACCACAATGGAATTGTCAATGTTTCTATTTACACAAGATGGTAACTGTCCGATTGATTATAAACTAATTTTGTACATATGTAAATATGTTTTGTATTTTGATGTGAATTGTTTTCGTTATTTTCGTATCAAGAAACACACGTGTTATTTTATTTTGTCCCGGCAATAAAATATAAAGAAAATATTTGGAAAAATGTATCGCCCGATAGAAGACTTTAAACCAAAAACAGTTACATTTGGCGTTAACTGTTCTCCCTATTTGGCCATAAGAGCACTCCATACATTGGCCAAAGACACACAACAAAAATCCCCACGAAGCTCTGAAATTTTAGTCAACGAAACTTATGTTGACGACATTCTCTCAGTCGGACACAATCTAGACTCAGCCAGCGAATCGATATCTCAAATTATCGATATCCTAAAATCAGCAGGATTTCCCTTGAAAAATATCACGGCAAATCACAAATCACTGCTGAAAGATATTCCTCAGTCTGATCTCCTAGACACAGATTTTCTCCAATTCCAAAGATGCAAGCTCAGCGAAACGAAATTAAGTGCAATTTAGCCCGGATAACCCAATCCAACTAAATAAATCAGGAGAAATTACGCCTCATCCTGAATACTCAACACAAATATTACGGAGAAACGATGACAACCTTGAAAGCGAAAAGTCCAATCAGCAAAATTGCTGTTACCCTTAATCCATTTGTGGATAAATCAGTTATAATGAGTGGCACGCCATTATTATACCATACAACGCAAAAATCTGTTCTCTAATTCTCGATTTAGCCCGAAGTCATTTCCTTTCACACATTTATCATATATTTTGCGAACAATTACTCACTAAATCCTAGAGTGCAGGTAGGGTTGCCAACATTTTCTAAGAAATGTATAGTACTTTTTAAAAAAAATCTGAAAAAATACAGTACACTTCAAATAAATATAGTATTATATTTAAAAGAAAAAAATTAAAACGCTTTCTAAGTGTACATCTTTTTTCCTTCTTATGCATATCCTCTTTATATTTCTTTGGAAGTATCATATGCTTTAAGGCAATCAATATTTAAATTAATATAAATCAAAAGTTCATTTTTATAAGTGAGGTAGTCGCTATGTTTCTCTCATCTCGCCATTTGACAATCATAATAGAAAAGGTTCCAATTTCCCGCTTCGCCCGAACAAAAGTTTCGCATCGCGGGTCCAGAAAAAAATGCCCTTAACTCTGGACGTGCTTTTTTAGTCGATTCGACTAACAACAATCGTGTTTCACTTCGTACCTCTCTCTCAAGTCATTTAACTTTTTGTTTACTATATGTAACAGAGAAAAAACTATGTAGTACGAATTTAGTTAATGTGTTTTAAAAAATATAAAGAACTTAAAATCAAAAAATATATTTTCGTTTTTAACTATTGTTTGTTTGTTATTTAAATTCAAAGTTGGTGTTAGTCGTGTCGACTTACAACCCCGCAAACAAGATCAACAGAGCGAAGCACTTCCAGAGTTAATTGCAATTGTAGCTAACGATATGTATTTATTTGATAGATTGTCAAAAATTTTTTTATTTACTTTTATTCAGTGTTAGTGCAGTTTTTTCACTAATGTAAATGATAGTATGTATCTTTTATCATCTACATAGTCCGTGCTTTTCTCTATGAGCATCTCGAATTTCATAAAAGAACAGCAAATATCTATGGGGGAAATATTTTTTAGCACTTAAATAGGGCTTAGAATTTTTATTGAGTCGCCTGAAAACGGTTCGAATTTCCCACACAACAATGCCTATTATTTATGTACATTTCTAAACAAATGATCCACAGACTCGAGCCGAATGAAATGTAAACCCTCCAAGGCAAACGCGAAACAAGCGCACGTTGAACTCGCGCCAATGTCGCCAAATAGCCAGCCAACAAGTAATACACACAAATACACGCACACGCACATTAGGTTGTGTTAGGCCAGGACGAGCACATCAAAACGTAACCAACAAGGTGGGTATTTTTATTTTGTTGTTTTGGACATATTGTACATGTATGAGATTTTATTACGATTTCCGTCAATTCCTTCCCTCTGCTCCGCTCCTATGATCTGATCAGATCAGCTACATAAGTATGTATGTTTATTGTGCCTTGATCGTTTGTATGCGACTGCATTTGTGTCGCATTCTGGTTTTCGTTTATAACGTTTTATCGTCTACTCCTTTAAGAAATTTCTTGTTTTGCCACTTTTCTAAATACATACATAGCTAACGAAAAATGGCTTTTCAAACAAATTTTTTTTCTTTTGTTTCATGCATTCTTGTCATAACAACTTTTCGTGTTATCTTGTCCACCTTCTTTTGTAGTTCTTGCCTCTCATTCTGCATTCATTAAAAAGGGAATGCTAATTAAATTCCTGCTGTGTGTGTGGCTATGTTGCGTTTGTCGTTGTTGTTTTATTTTTATTCGATTCTTTCGAAATGATTCGACTTGTGGCCCACACTTGACCTTTCAGCATTCAATAATGTTTGCAAGAATGCGTGGAAATCTTTTGTTGATGCTAGAAATTAAAATACAAATGTGTTTTTTCCACCATTTCATGCCCAACCCAGCAAGCATGAGATTTGATTTGAAAACAAACGTTTGAAAATGATTTGGTATTGATTTGAAAATTGCAGCTTTTTCAATAAAAAGGGGAATTTTAACTCCATTGAGAATGTGGTTAATTCCGAATTGAATTTCAAAGGTTATTTATTAAATGTATTCAAATGTGGAAATAAAATATGCATTTGAGCACTAATAAATTCGCCTTTATTTAAAAGCGCACTTTTATATCGCCTGACTCTTCACATAAATTCAAGAGATGGACAATTCTTAGCAAAATGTATCTATTCTATGTATGTTTCTTTAATTCAATTTTTCAGGCTTAACTTTGACTAGTTTTTATGAAGAATTTGTGAAAGCAGCGCATACATGCATAAATATTCAGTAGTAACATCATACAATTTTGAAAAAAAAATGTCCATCGATAACTTAAATTTGTGACACACAATGGCTAGAGGCGTCGCCTGAGTGCATTCTTTCATATATTTATGTATGTGCTAGTTTTACCGTTATATATTTTTTATCTACTCGTTTATTCCATGGGGTATTCATGCTTTATTTAAATTTAAAAAAATAAATTATTATACCGTTTTAAAAATCTGAAAATTCACTGCGGCAAATTTTTTTATTCTCTTTTTGTCTTCGCCTTCTCGTTTTTGCCTTTATAAGTTTTGAAAAAAGGTTTTTAAAGAACCATTATATCACTTTCCTAGGCAAGTTTTGAAAGAATATTTTCGATACTAAATTTTATTAAAACAAAATGTTGAAATCAGCTTCATATTATTATATTTTAATTTGAATTATTTGTTTATAAAAATATAGTTTATTCCTTAACAAACACAAATCGAAAATAAGTTTAATCGACAAACTTTCGTAAAAATTTCGAACTTTCTACTTCAATTTTATGTCTTAGTATTTTGCATTTTTTTAGCTCATTTAATTTTAGTCTAATTAAGTGCATATTTAAAGTAGCTGTGATTTATTGTTGACGTATGGCATATTTTTGAAGATGTCGGTAATTTTCTTCCATATTATCTAAGTATGTTCGACGATTTTTTTTAATGAAGAAAATGAGCAACGCCTTCATTAAAAAAAAAAATATTAAAAATCAACGATAAGTCGCAGCTATGTATTTTAAACTTGCGTTTTTTCTGTATTGATCGAGCTACAGAACTGCATACTCAAAATATGTATTTATAGGAAATCTAATTAAAAAGCTTTACGAAAGTTTGTTGATTTTTTTAATGTTGCGCAAAGATTAAACCTTGGATTCATACGGGTTTTGTTAAAGTGTAAACTGCATTTTTATAAACAAATAACTAAAGTTATATAATTTTAAGATAAATGGCCAATCTAGTTAACATTTATAAAGTTTTGATAAGCACTTGAAATGTCAAGTTTTAGTACTGAATTCAAAGAAGATGTCTCTTTTATCCATTCACAATAACCTAAAAAAATTTGTTTGTTAAGAAGTGTATCTTAA